TTAACCTCTCCTCGTAGGACATACCTCTTAGCTCTGGGATAGTCTTGTTGCAACCTTTGCACTTCTCTAGTTTCTTCACGTGCTTGGCTAGGTGTGGGTTCCAAACTGGTCCCGCATACTCCAATATGGGCCTAACATACACGGTGTACGGGGTCCTGAATAAATTCCTTATTAAATGTCGGAATGCTGTTCTGGGGGTTTGCTAGGCGCCCATATGCTGCAGAAATTTATTTGGTTGATGTGCGCTTCAGGAGATGTGCCTGGTGTTATACTCACCCCAAGATCTTTTCCTTGAGTGAGGTTTGTAGTCTCTGACCCCCTAACTGTACTCCGTCTCGGCCTTCTTTGCCCTTCCCCAATTTCATGACTTTGCACTTGGTGGGTTGAACTCCGGGAGCCAATTGCGGGACCAGGTCTGCAGCCTGTCCAGACCCCTTTGTAGTTCTGCCGGGTCTTCGATCGAGTGTTGTGTGGTGTGTGTGTGTGTGTGTGTGTTGTGTGTGTGTGTGTGTGTGTGTGTATGTGTGGTGTGTGTGTGTGTGTATGGGGTGTGTGTGTGTGTGTGTATGTTTTGTGTGTGGGGTGTATGTGTGTGTGTGTGTGTGTGTGTATTTGTGTTGGTGTGATGTGTGTGTGTGTTGTGTGTATGTGTGTGTGTGTTTGGTGTGTGTGTGTGGTGTGTGAGTGTGTATGTGTGTGTGTATGTGTCTGTGTGTGTGTGTATGTGTGTGTGTGTGTGTGTGTGTGTGTGTATGTGTGTGTGTGTACGTGTGTGGGGGGGTGAAGATGTCCAGCCGATATCCAACACTTTCTTCTCTTCTCTTTTTCTCCTGTACAAGAGACACCGTTTTATATATCCGACAATTAAAAACTTTGTTGATAATAATCAGTTCGTTTCTTCAGAGTTGAAAATGTAATGTAGTTTTTAATAAAGATTTAAAAGATAGAATTATTGTGTTTGAATTCAGGAAAGTTCTTATCACCTTCCAGATTTTATTACCAACAATATAATATAACCACATATAGTATCTTTTTACAGTTATATTAATTCCATTTTAAGTATTAAAATGTTACTAAAAACAATTAAAGTGTATTATAATGGTTTTAAGATTAATGACTCGAAATCATACCATGAAAAATATTTAAATCTCAGAGCATCTAATTTTGTATTACACTGAAGTAATTAAATAAAAGTAATAAATATTTTTAAATTATATTTCCAGCATAACAATGTAAAACAAATTAGTGCAAGGCTTTCAGAATTTATATTGATACTAGGATAAACCATACCACAGGCGGGGATTGAACTCGTGGCGAGTAAGTCGTAAAACTCCAGGATAAACCATACCACAGGCGGGGATTGAACTCGTGGCGAGTAAGTCGTAAAACTCCAGAACCAGCGTGTAAGCCACTGGGTCAGCTGGCCTGAAGTTTTACGACTCGCCACGAATTCGATCCCCTCCCGTGGTATGGTTTTTTTGCAATCGTGTCATTACGATTTCGTGAGTCGTTCTGAGGACATTTATGGTATAACAACTTCAAAATAAAACCTGAGTTTAATGTATTCTACAAACCGAGTGGTTTATGTCTCTCGGTGTAAATAATTAAGTATTGGTGACCCTCATGGATACCTTACTCAGCCAACTAACATAGTAGCTAGTTATAAGGAACTAGAGCAGCTAGTTACGAGGAGCATGTTTAGCTTGTTATTGTGAGCTAGTGAAGCTAATTATGAACAACCTGTGCAGGTAGTTATGAGGAACTAGTGTGACAAATTATAAAGCGCTAGTGTAGCTAGTTATGAT